TCATCTACTTCTGGAAATCATCTTCATATTCAAATTCCCCTACACTTTGATCAGATTGTTCTGCTTGTTCATAATGTTTTACACAAATTGCTGCAACCTTTTGATCATAAAGATAATTCACCAACTCTAAAGCATCATTGTCATATTGCATTAAATGCATAACACTAGAATCATGCAGCCAACTTCTATCATGAAAGAAATCATTCCCAATCATCAAAATGTATCTCCCTAGCCATTTGAGTTATCTCATACATTGACATTTCATCCACACAACAATGGTCAAAGTAAGTTATATTTCCACCAACATAGCAGGTCCCTCTCAAATCCATATTTTTTCCAGAATGAAGCATCATTATTGTGAAATTATCACTATTTGGGCCTGCCAAAGCATATAAAATACATTTTCAGAAAAAAAAAAATTGTAATATAGCAATGACAAAACATAAAAAATAGGACATGGAACATGTAAGAAACAGAAAAGTGGTCAATGTCTAGACAAATAGGTAACAACCAAAAAACATTATAAAAAAAAACACAAGTGTGGTCCTGCTTTACACTCTAAATACTATAGAATACAACAATTCATAAAATAACATTTGACAAAAAATCAACCAATTGCCACTGCATTGAATACATCGAACAAAAGTTTTTAAAATCAAAGAATAAATTAATACATTAAAAAGCAGAACATACCATAATCTGGAGCATTTTTTGTAAAATCTGCAGCGTCGTTACCCTCTCTCACTTTCCAAGTCATGATAAAGTGTGAAGATCTTCAGATTATCGCGAAATTGGAGATGAATCCTAAACCCTTGAAAAAGAGAAAAGGGGCTGATGAATTGGAATGTTTGAGAATGTGTGAGGATGTGTGAATGTCAACGGCTATTAGGGCTCAATATCTTAGGACTGGAAAAGACAACATTAGCCTTGAGTTTAGCATGTGCAACGCATGTAGGTTGAGAACCGGTCATTTTGACCTGAAAAACGGGTAAAAAGGGGCAAAGTGGCACAATTAACTGAGTACAGCAAAAAACAAAATTGTTCAGGTGATGATCCGCAAAAACTTAAAATGTTTAGGTGGTTTAATACTATTTACTCTTAAAAATAATATTAGTTTAGTGATGATATATGGTATTTTTCCTTTAGTGTTCAGCACATCGTTTTGTCTTGCGTGTATACGTTTTATCTCCTTTGATTTCTTACATGTAGTATTGTTGTTTGAGTATTGTACATCACTGATTGGACGTCATTAATAATAAACTTGCATGTTATTTGAATATCAGTTGCGTAAATTATTTGTTACCGTGTTTGTTATTAAGTCAATTATTTTTCATAACATTCACATAGTGTGTAGGACCGGCAATTGAGCCGGGCCTACCCGAAGCCCGATAGCTCTGCCCGATTTTATTTGAGCCGAGCCGCAATAATTGTGAGCCGGGCCGAGTTTGAGCCGTCTCATTAAACCCGATTAAATTAATATATATATATATATATATATATATATATTTG